CAAAACCGCTCAGCGCCTTAGAGTGGCTGAGCGCCTTGAATCGCGTCCCCACGAGCTCCAAAGTGCTCTATTTCTCCCCTTTCTCTGTTTTCTCTTCGTACAGCTCAAGATGATACCCCTTTCTCTCTCCTCTGCCCTTATATATGTGATAAAATTAAAATAGAGTGAACAGGAAAGAGACGAATCCACTCAGCGCCTTGAAACGGCTGAGCGGTTTGAAGAATCCTTCACCATGAAGTAACCTAAAGGGCTGAGCCCCTTGGATCTATTGAGCGCCTTGAAGATCCTTCACTCCTAATCAAAGCATAAGGGTTGGGCGCCTCAGATCCGCTGAGCACCTTAGAGGCAGAGAGCATCCTATTTCCTGGACCAAATCCGCTCAGCGGATGGTAGTGGCTGAGCGCCTTGGAGGCAGAGAGCAGCACTCCTTCTCTTCCAGGGCCTAATCCGCTGAGCGCCTTGGAGTGGCTGAGCGCCTCTCCTGTGCTACATTTGTTGAGCTCTCTGGCTTGAATCCGCTCAGCGCTTTTGAGTGGCTGAGCCATTTTCCTTCAACTTTCAAAACCTACAAAATAAACACCAAATTTGATCAAAAGCTTCATCACTCCTTGTACTAACATAAATCAAAAGTCCCTTTTTGATTCTAAGTATATATAGACCAAAATTATATCAATATCTGCAAAAATTATGCTAGATAAGTGTCTCAAATGCATATTTAATCATAATAATTAGACACTTATTAAGCTACCCCCAACTTAGAAATTTGTTTGTCCTCAAACAAAAGGTCTTAATTGAGAGTATAATATAACTAACTTATATATACAGTGAATACTAACAAGTTTCACCCAAAAAATATGTTAATGCACTTACATGATTTCAAAGAGTCCAATGAACTTGCTTGCAAAATCCAGTGAGTACATGTTACTACAAATGGTGCCCACATAATAACAAAAATTATGAACATCAAGCATACTCAAGGGAAACATAATCCACTCATCTTCCATTGTTTTCAATCAAAGGCACTAAAATTTTCCTCACCAATGTGTATCTCTCTTTGATATGTTGTGAAGGGTGAGTGTTTCTCTCATTTCATGCACCAAAACATGCTAAGTCTGGTTTGTTACCCGTCTCCCATAAATATGTTGTTAAAACTAAACATGGATGACTAAGGGCTTAAGAGGGTTGTAATGTGGCCTGGCTATCAGAGATTTTGTTTTTCTTTGGGAATCTAAAGGCCTGTTTGACAAGAGACATTCTCACTCATATGGGTTGATACCAAATTCTTATACCAGCATGAATTCTCTTTTGATTAAATTTACTGGTTCCTTCTCTTTCAGAATATACTATACACAAATTGGTGAAATTATAACAAGGAACCTTGATTTTAACTTTGTTTTTTTTTTAGAGTAACAATATATATACACAGAGAACAACACCTTGCCTGTACAATTCTAACCACATGAATACTGCATACATTTACCCCCAACTTGGCTCAAACCCAGTTGCTTCTTGAGAATGTCTCTTACCAACAAGGCTAAGGACAATCATGGTTTTTCTTTGTAAGCTTAGGGGTTCTGTTTAGGGTCCGATTTGCTGATCAATGGTCAATGTAATTCATGGGTTGGCTTTTTGGCTACTAGCTAAATAAAACAAATGCCTTAGTGAATTCCATGCATAGCTTAACTGTAACTCATGGGAGACTCAAACAAAACTGACCGCATGAATCAGTGATGACTCTCAAAGATTGAATTTTTAATTATTTGGCCCACTCACTCACACGGTTTGGTTAAGTGCCCTAGACATCAACAACTTCAAACTCATTTCAATTTCACTTGAACATGCTTGAAGCACATACTTAAAGTCAAAAATGTACAACCACTTGTGCAACACTGAAAACTTCCAGATTAGAAAACCCGTTCATTGGAAACTTGAATCATGAAAATGCTCCTTCCAGAAAAATTTTCAGTTGAATTCCTAAAAAGAATTTTGTTTGTTTTTCATTTGTTCCTATTTTTTTTTTTACATTAACATTACTGTTGTCCAAAAAGACCTAACTAACAAACGATTATGAAATTAACGATAGAACATGAAATTAAAGCAAAACATTGCAATCATACTAACTGAAACTGCTCAAAAGAACTTACCAAGTGAAGAATCATCAAACCAAAGTAACCCAAGAAATTAAAAGTCCAAGAAATTAAAGTAACCCAAAATAAACTGCAACTCAAAGTACTGAAAATAAATAAATAAACTGCTAAAATTACTGTAAAATAAACAAACAAACTCTTCATCTGTCCTCCTCATCATCATCCTCTTCTTCTTCAACACCCTCTCTTTGCACATCCTCTTCTCCTTCATCTTCCCCTCCAGCTCCACCTTCCTACTCCGGCTACTCCTCCTCTGGTTGTGGCTGATGCTCCTCCTCACCTCCCTCAAAGTGTGGATTGTCCCCAGGCCAGTAGAATTGCTGTTGGAAAGTCTCTGGGGATGGCCATTGGAATGGAGGACCTTCATGAAACTGCTGCTGATGAGCATGGTACATGCTGGTGTTGAGAGACATCAACACCAAATGATTTGCCAAATTCTGCTGCTCAATGTGATGAAAATGAGCAGCCATGAATTCCTATCCAGCTACCTGAGAAGAGGAGGATCCCTGCCAATGCCTTTGAGGTCTAGGCTGTGAAGCATCACCTTGCTGCTCACTCTTACAATGAATCTTGATATATGCAACATTAATCGGAGGCCGGAGAGATTTGTTCAAATTATTCGGAAGACGAGAGCCACCTGCTAGACACAAACCAGTAATCAGACCTGGAAATCCCAGGGGTTTAGAGACACCTGTCATAGAGGGAGTGGAAAGGACAGTCTTGTGGATCTCATCTGAAATGATTGAAGCTATGTCCACACCATTCTTTTGCAAAATAGAGTAGAGGAGAGTTGCCCTGGGCATGTTCAAGTCAGATATGTGTGTAATGGAATACACATTGCAGTATAAGAAATTCTGCCAGATGCGTGCAAGAGTTGTCAAGTTTTTGCGGAGGAATGAAACTGGGTTTCCTGTTACTCCCACTGTATAAGTACAGCCAGGTAAACATAGAAGCTTGGCCATCTTGTCAGCATTGAAACCACGGGCCTTCTTCAGTCGGCCATACTCATCTAGGCCGTCACCTCCTAAGCTATAAGGGTTTCCCAGATATTCATTGATAGCATCCCTTGAATAGCTGATTGTGACTCCTCTCACCCAGCTATTTCTAGTCTGATCATGCCTTTGTAGAGGATAAGCATTGGCATAGAATTCTTTGATTATATCTTCATTGTACTTCTTTTCTGGAGTGGCCAGCTTGCTCCACTTCCTTCTGGTCAGTTCTCCTTGGAAATCCATATACTCTCCTGCTTCTAGCTCTACCCTCTTTTTAGCAATTATTTTTCTAGGCTCCAGCTCCATGTACCTTTGCTGTTTTGATTTGGTAAGGAATCTTTTTCTGTCCAAACGGATTGGAACCACAGGTGGAGGAGTAGGTTCATCATTGTCAGAATCATGTGGAGGGGGATTTGAGGAAGCGGCTCCCTTCCTTTTCTTGCTGGCAAGGACTTCATGGGTAGCTCTGGTCTTGCCCATCTGCAATATGTTCAAATAAAAACAAGAAACAGCAAGATCAAATTGTTAAATCAACTTTAAGTATTTAATTCAGCAGAGTACAAAATGGCTCAGCCCCTGGAAAGGGCTGAGCGCCTTGAGTACTGCAACTCTCTGCCTCCAATCTGCTCAGCGCTTCAGAACCGTTGAGCGCCTTGGGCATGGTGGGTTTCTGCTCTCAATTCGCTCAGCGCCTTGGAAGCGCTGAGCGCTTTGCTTCAGAGTTTGAAAATTCCCATTGTTTAGCTTGAAACCCCACAATCTATGAAACCTTTTCACAACCAAAATTTTTTAGGGCTGAAAATAGAAGAACCCATCAAAAGTCCAAACCCTATTTTATGCATTACAAACATATGACACCATGCATGATTAAAGAAGATCACTCATTTTTCACAAACAGAACCTTACTTTAAAGAACCTAATGATCATACACATCAATGCACAGACAGAAATTTAACTATTCAAGTTGACTTTGAAGGACGAAAGCAACAGGAAAATGGTAAAACTGACTCTAAAATGAATTGACGCAATGAAGGCTGGTTGATCAAAGAACATACCTAGAATGCGAGGTGAGTGGTGTTGATAAAAACAGATTAGGAGTGACAAGTGAGAGGAAGGAGAAGGGTTCTTTCAAAATGCAGCAGAATGAGAAAGGGTGAGTAGTTTGATTTAGGGTTATGTTTTTTTTTTAATCCGTGCGCAAATGGGCTTTCTGAGCGTTGAGCGCTTAGACTCCAGAATGCTTGCTAATTCCAGGCGCTGAGCGCCCCAAATGCGCTGAGCCATTTAGCTCCAGAGAGCAATGCTCTCACAAGGCGCTGAGCCATTAAAAAGCGCTGAGCGCTTAGGCTCCAGAGAGTTCCAAAAATTCTTGTCATTCCAGGCGCTCAGCCACTCATAAGCGCTGAGCACCTTGCTTCCAGAGACCCCTCTTTGAGAATTTCCATTTGAGGCGCTGGGCCACTCAGAGGCGCTGAGCGCCTTGACCCCAAAGGCTCCTCTGTTTTACTTACTGATATGAGGGGCTGAGCCCTTCAAAGGGGCTGAGCCATTGCGTCCTGGAGAAGAAATTCTTTTATTCCAAATATGGCTAAGTTGACCCCAAATTCCCTAGAATTCTTCTTCTAAACTTATCTACAACAAGCATACATTAGACATAAAAGGAAAATGCACAACATGAACCTAACATAAGAACAATTTTTAACCTAAGTATTATATCCTAAACTTACTTTCTAAAACATCAACACACAGCTGAAGCTAAGCATGTAAATACTACATAACCAAAACCAATTTCAAAACATGTTGGCTGGGTTGCCTCCCAGAAAGCGCTTCTTTATTGCCATTAGCTTGACACTCCATTAAGTCATGGATCATTGAGGTGAACAACAGTGGTAAGTTTCTCAACCTCACCACCCAAGTATGGCTTAACTCTCTGACCATTTACCATCCAAGATCTCCCAGAATTTGGCTCTTCCAACTCCACTGCCCCATATGGCTTAACTGATTTAATCACAAATGGGCCTGACCATTTGGACTTGAGCTTTCCAGGGAATAGTCTCAACCTGGAATTAAACAGCAACACCTGTTGGCCTGGTTGGAAGTTTCTCTGGACAATCATCCTATCATGGTAAGACTTCACCTTGCTCTTATAGATCTGGGAAGATTCATAGGCCTGTAACCGCATTTCTTCAAGCTCGTGTAGCTGAAGCTTTCTCTTTTCACTTGCAGCTTTCAAATCAAAGTTTAATGCTTTCAAAGCCCAATAGGCCTTATGCTCCAACTCAACTGGGAGATGACAGGCCTTCCCATATACAAGCTGAAACGGAGAGAGTCCAATTGGAGTCTTGTACGCTATCCTGTAACCCACAGTGTATCATCCAATTTCAAAGCCCAATCTTTCCTTGAGCTGGCTACAGTCTTTTCTAGAATTTTCTTCAACTCCCTATTGGAGACCTCTGCCTGTCCATTTGTTTGAGGATGCTAAGGTGTAGCTACCTTGTGTCTCACACCATAATGCTCTAACACCTTCTTCAGCTGTGTATTGCAGAAATGAGAACCACCATTGCTAATGAGCACTCATGGTGTTCCAAATCTGGTAAAGATATTCTTCTTTAAGAACTTGATCACCGTACGTGCATCAGCCTTCTGAGTTGCCATTGCTTCCACCCATTTAGAAACATAGTCAACAGCAAACAGAATGTACTCATTAGAATAAGAAGATGGAAGGGGTCCTACAAAATCAATTCCCCAACAGTCAAAAACTTCAACTTCAAGAATATTCTGTAAAGGTAGCTCATGTCTTTTTGAAATTCCTCCAGTTCTCTGACACTTATCACAATTCTTGCAGTGTTCATGAGAATCCTTAAAGATAGTAGGCCAGTAGAATCCAGACTGGAGAATCTTTGCTGCTGTGCGATCTCCATTATAGTGACCTCCATAAGGTGAATTGTGGCAGTGCCACAAGATATCCTTAACCTCAGCACCTGAAACACATCTTCTCAACAAACCATCAACACCAATCTTAAATAAATAAGGATCATCCCACACATAGTAAGTGGAATCCTTGAAGAATTTCTTTCTCTACTGCCAATTGAGATCTTCTGGAATAACCCCGGCTGCTTTAAAATTTGCCATATCAGCAAACCAAGGCCTTTCTTGCACAGAGAATAATTTTTCATCTGGAAATTTCTCATGGATTGCACTTTCAAGTATGGTCACCTCTTCATTTTCCAGCCTTGACAGATGATCTGCAATGTGGTTTTCACAACCTTTCTTATCTTTTATCTCTAAATCAAATTCCTGTAAAAGTAGAATCCATCTTATCAACCTTGGTTTGGAATCAGATTTAGTTAGCAAATATTTAATAGTTGCATGATCAGTGAACACAGTAATTTTTGAACCAATCAAATAAGAACGAAATTTCTCAAGTGCATACACTATTGCAAGTAATTCTTTCTCTGTGGTTGCATAATTTAATTGAGTTTCATTCAAAACTTTACTCGCATAGTGTATGACATGAAAAATCTTATTTTTCATTTGACCCAGAATAGCACCTACTGCATAGTCACTAGCATCACACATTAGCTCAAAATCAAAATTCCAATCAGGGCTAGTGATTATGGGTGCTGAGCACAATTTTTGTTTTAAGAGTGAAAAAACAGACAAGCATTTATCATCAAATTGAAATTTAACATCCTTCACAAGGAGATTGCTAAGCGGTTTAGCGATCTTTGAAAAATCTTGAATGAACCGCCTATAGAATCCAGCATGTCCAAGAAAGCTTCTAACCCCCTTCACATTTGTTGGTGGAGGAAGCTTAGAAATGACCTCCACTTTAGCTGGATCTACCTCAATTCCTCTCCCAGAAATCTTGTGGCCAAGCACTATTCCTTCAGTCACCATCAAGTCGCATTTTTCCCAGTTAAGAACCAGATTTGTTTCAACACACCGCCTCAGTACAGTGTTGAGATTCTCCAGACATGTATCAATTGATGCTCCAAACACAGAAAAATCATCCATGAAAATCTCTATACATTTCTCAACAAGATCAGAGAATATGGCTAACATACACCTTTGAAATGTGGCTGGTGCGTTACATAATCCGAATGACATTTTTCTATATGCAAAAACACCAAAAGGACATGTGAATGTTGTCTTCTCGTGGTCCTTCGGGTCCACTACTATCTGATTATAACCAGAATAACCATCCAAGAAGCAGTAATAGGCTTGACCCGCCAACCTCTCTAACATCTGGTCCATGAAGGGTAATGGGAAGTGATCCTTCCTTGTGGCTTGGTTCAACTTCCGATAATCAATACACATCCGCCAGCCAGTGACTGTTCTAGTAGGAATCAATTCATTCTTGTCATTCCTCACCACTGTTATACCTCCCTTCTTAGGAACCACCTGAACAGGACTAACCCATGCACTATCGGAGATAGGGTAAATCATGTCAGCTTCAAGCAACCTAATCACCTCTTTTCTGACCACCTCCTTCATTGTTGGATTGAGGCGCCTTTGAGGTTGTGCCACAGGCCTATAATCCTGTTCCATCAAAATCCGGTGCATATAATATGAAGGGCTAATACCTTTGAGATCAGACAAGGTCCACCCAATAGCTCCTTCATTTGCCTTAAGAACTTCAACTAACTTCTTTTCCTCTTCCATAGATAAGGAATTGCTAATTTGGTTTGCCACCATTTGCTTCTAGAAACACATATTTGAGATGGCTTGGCAATTGCTTCAATTCTAACTTTTGAGGTTGAGACTTTTCCTCCATATTTAAATCTTGTACACTTGTAGAATTAGGAGAAATCTCCTTTGCTTTGTCCAACTCCTCCAAACACTTCTGAAGTTCTTTTTCTTCCTCATCATTGATTTCACTGACTGCATTCACCAATGTTTTCTGTAATGGTGTAGCTACTGAAAATTTCCTTTGAGCTTCCATACACAACTCATCAATCACATCCACTCTGAAGCAACCTGCCTTATCACTTGGATGTTTCATGGCTTCAAAGACATTAAAGTTAACTTCATCATCCTGAACTCTAACCTTGAGTTTGCCATCATCAACATCAATGATGACCTTGGTTGTCTTCATGAATGGCTGTTGAGATTTCCGTTGAAACACTTTTGTTAATATTTGTAAATTCGTTTAATTCTATCAACGGTCTCAAACATGACAAGTATATCGGCCGTTCAAGTAGTAAAAATATCGTATCCACAGGGATTAGAAGGTAAAATAAGCATTTATTGACTATTCGTGACTAAAGAATAATTCCAATTTCATAGTTTGTCATGTGAATTCAAAGTTGTGACTATTGGAATGAAAGCTATAAATAAATATTGGTTTGTGAGTGGAAAAGGATAGGAATGGTATAATGGTTTTGTGAGGTTATGGGGGTTAGATTTCACCAAACGTCAGACTAATGAATCCTTAATCTCTTGTTACATACATTGCTTAGTCAACCCATAAGTTTACTCAAACTTAACCCCTTAGAGAAAGAGTCTAGGTACGGACATTGAATATCAATCCCTAAAGTACCCAATATCTACACCCGCATTACGGGCTAGGGTTTAAGACTACTAATGGGTCAAGCTCTATCCCTAGATACAATCTCCACTAGGCATATGTTCCTGAACTAGTTTCAATGGTATTTCCCAATACTCAATGGAACCTTAAATCATGCAAAGAGTGATCAATCCAAAGCAAGCATTAAGCGTAGAAACGTACACAACAAAGAATGAAACAATACATATATATATCATTAAAAACGTAAGGATTACAATAGAGTACGTTGGTTACATCTAACCCCACAAAAATGGGTGGAACCACTCAACAATGAGGGTAAATACAAAATAGAGATGAAAGGAGAAGTGAAGAACCGAAGAAAAGATCCACACACGAACGTTCCCAAGCTCGAAGAACCCCTTCTACCGCTCCAAGGAGGCGCCCCTGCGTGAATGAGGGAGAAACCCCCGAAAATGGCTTCAAATATGAGCTTGGGGAGATCAGATTAGGGTTTCGCGCACCGGCGCATAAGTCTTCGCGCTCGACGCAGGGTCTTTTGAGCACTCTCTGCCTCAGTGTAAGCCTGGCGCAATTTTCTTTTACGCCCGGCGCAATACCTTCCAGAGAGTTTAAGGTACTCTCTGTCTCGATCGTGCCCGGCGGAGGTAGTCTCGCGCCCGGCGCAGGCGTGACTTTCAGAGGTGGAACACTCTGTTCTTCTCAAGCCCGGCGTGGGTCATCTTACGCCCGGCGCAGCCAGTCTGCTCTGCTCCCTATTCCTTAGATTTCCAATCCTAAGGTCTTCCATCCTCAATTCACTAGCTCAATACCTGCACAAAAAATGAGGTGTATTAAGGTATTGTTAGCTAAATATGGGTTAGCTATATCTGCACAAAAAGTGAATCAAAAAGGGGATAATTGTCTTGCAATGGTGCAAAGGATGAGTGGATTAGTTCATTAAGTCTCAACCAAAAAGAGGTATAATTGAGACTTAACAATGGCCTTCCCAGAATAAGAGGAACTTCAGAATCCTCCTCCATATTCATGACAACAAAATCTACTAGGAACCAAAATTTATCAACTTTCACCAAGAGGTCTTCAACAACACCATGAGGATACTTTATAGACCTATCAGCCAACTGCAGAGTCATCCTGGTAGGTCTCACTACCACCTCACCTATCCTCTGTAACATAGATAAAGGCATAAGATTCAAAACCTACAAAAATAACACAAAATTTGATCAAAAGATTCATCGCTCCATGTACTAACATAAATCAAAAGTCCCTCTTTGATTCTAAGCATATATAGACCAAAATATTATCAATATGTACAAAAATTGTGCTAGATAAGTGTCTCAAATTCATATTTAATCAAATTAGTTAGACATTTATCAAGCTACCCCCAACTTGGAAATTTGTTTGTCCTCAAACAAAAGATCTTAATTGAGAGTATAATATAACTAACTTATATATCCAGTGAATCACTAAAAGTTTCACCCAATAAAAATATGTTAATGCACTTACATGATTTCAAAGAGTCCAATGAAAACTTGTTTGCAAAATCTAGTGAGTACATGTTACTACAAATGGTGCCCACATGATAACAAAAATTATGAACATCAAGCATACTCAAGGTAAATATTCACTCATCTTCCATTGCTTTTAGTCAAGAGCACTAAAATTTCCTCACCAATGTGTATCTCTCTTTAGTATGCTGTGAAGGGTGAGTGTTTCTCTCTTTTCATGCACCAAAACACGCTAAGTTTGATTTGTTACCTGTGTCCCATAAGTCTGTTGTCAAAACTAAACATGGATCACTAAGGACTTAAGAGGGTTGTAATGTGGCCTGGCTATCAGAGATTTGGTTTTTCTTTGGGAATTTAAAGGCCTGTTTAACAAGAGACATTCTCACTCATATGGGTTTATACCAAATTCTTGCACTAGCTTGAATTCCCT